TCTGAAATTCGAAAGTTTTTGAATTTATTCATTAATGCTAATTGATCAATTTCAAATTAATATAGCACATGATAGACTGCTACTATGCGTCCATAGCTATTGCATCAGATCGGTAATAAAACCTCTTTTAGTTGGAGAAAGCTTTATTGTTTTCAAAATTTGAGGCCGGTCCTATTATTTTTGGACCCCCTATACTTACATTGAATTTTATTTTATAATGAGTTCTGGACAAAATTTGCAAAAGTTTCTAAGATCTTTCAACCGAGTGAGTTCTAATAGGTAGTTAAATTCTCTCTGATATAGATCATATATCTTACTTTATTATAGCACTCTAATGAGTACCGGCAAGCAAAACTAGACTGTAATGTAGATCGCAATGGCGAACAGGCCACTCGAATTCCCATGATTGAGTACAACAATGTGAATGAATTCATTGATGAATTGTACCAGTAAAAGTCCGCTTCGGTTGAACACGTCTTAGCTTCGACAATTCACGAGCAATTAGGAAAATCACTAGGTTGAATTTGGACAGTTTCATCTGGAAGGATTTGCAGATCGAAAGAAGTATAGGTAGCGGATGCTACGTAAGCAGTTCTTATGAGTTCAATTATTGATTTTATTATTCTATCTAGTGTTGTCCGAACCGTGGATCTGAAGGATGCGATGCTGATTTGGAATTTTTCATCCAACTCATTTCTAGTCATCAGTTTTTCAGAAACAAAGGAATTTGCACGAAATTCATCGTATAATTCTTGGACAACAGTCTTGGCTATCAAGCAACTGAAAGCTATATGCATGAAGTATATTCCACTGATCGTCATAAAATCATCCCTATACAACTTGTATCGTTAAATGCATAGAGCTGGGTGATAAAAAGAGGTGATACGAAACCACTGGAACATATTTGATGATACTTAATATTCATAGAGATAAAGCTTTCGCGAGAAATCTCGATACGACTACATGGACATTGAAGTGTGTCACGATATCTCGCTTCCAGAAGCTCGTACTGGGCTTGTGAAGATACGTCAATGGTATAAATGTTCGTTGTTTTCGTAAAACCAATATAAAATGTGATGACGGTGAGTATGAGAACAAGTAAGATGATGAATAGACGAGTCAGCAGTCGTTCATGCCTAATGACGTGTGGCTCGTTTGAATAAGAGTCGAATAAATTAAACGATTTGATCTTCACGCATAACCACCATATCTTCTCTTTGATAGAGAGAACTAGAAACAATAAACATAATCACAGAGATCCTTTCGATACAATCTATTATATATATATATAGGCTCGTTTAATAAAACAATTATTCATAATATCCATGGACTCCGTATATATTATCTTCTCTTTGTGTACTGTTTGATTGTTGATCTTGTCTGTATCTCTTTCTGTACTCGCTCTATGCTCAGTGCTATTCAAGGACATTTGATAGAAGGAAAAGATGCATTTTGAGATAGAACATAGATGAATAAACATTGCGCCATCGCAATGTTTCTCCATTTGTCATTATAATAAAGAGAACATATGAATTATTGCTTCCTTGTACGTTTTAATGTCCGGTCCAAGGATTATATACTGTTCGTTGAGATCAGTAAGATATCGAATTTTATATGCTTTTATATGAAAAGGTTTAACAAAAAAGTAGAAAGCTTGAAGAAATAAAGGCCTCATAGTTTGTATGTGATTTAGTTGACATGATAAAATATGCTAAAAACTATATCTACAAACGAAAATTTGTACCACTATATCGGTTTAAATGTGCAACATCATGTAGTGCAATCTTCTCGTTCGATTTACCAGCAACATTTTTTACATAATTTAAAAAATGCTACTTACATCATGAAATATTGTTACTTGAATACTACGTAGGCTGATGACTTTTACTCGTGGGTACGATATTTTTTTTTCCAATAGAGGATATTTTGTGAATTATAGCATGTCAAGTTAAAATGATCTTACCTGATACAACGTCCGACGGTTCATTGGGTCGTGGTGCGAACAGTTTTCGTTTGAGTGTCAATATTAGATTAGCCAGCAATGGAATAATAAATCTCAGAGTTGCATTCAGACCATCAATGAGACCGAAGATGGTGGTTACAGTAGTCAATAGTCTAGTGCGATGCGTATAAGAGTAAGTACATGTCAAAGGTGCACAGTGTGTATAATAGATCTCTGCAGAATAGGACAAGAGAATCTCTTCTAACATTAATTGATTCAGCAGATCTTCAACAGTGTTATTCGGTAAAAATTTACTCGGAATAGTAGCATTCAGAGGTGTAAAAGCAGTTGCATCCAAGACGAGAAGTTCGAGACATGAAGAATCGTAGTAACATTCAAGAGTAGATACAGCAAGACCATCGGATGCATAACAGTCTGTTCGCATACCTTTGACCAATGTTCTATTTCCCTTGACAGAATAGACATTGCGCATCTGCTGTACTGGATTCCAATAGATAGCAGCAGGTACTGAGCATGTTGTCGCGGGTAAACTATAACATAAGGAACCATCCATCATTTGGTATACATTTGTAGCTATTGAAACCATATCTGTTACATTCGGTGGTATGGTAGCGACGGCATTAGTACCAAGTCCACTAATGAACAGCTCCCCTGACATAACATAACGAAAAGTGCTTAGAGAACGGGATGCATATGACCTTACATCCATGATCATGCTGTTAATGAGATTCTTGATTGTGAATTCAACAGCAGATGAAGGCATGAGCTGTGAAGTTAACATGAAACTACTAAGATAATTAATTATTGTAGAGTTTACGAGTGCTTGACTCATTTCACACAAGAAATGCAGAGATTGGGCATAAGAGCTGGCTACTGTCCGTGCATCCATTGGTAAAATGCAAGAGGTATCAGCCATAAACGTAGTAGTTATCCAGTCTTGATTGATGAACGAACTTGAACACACCTAAGAAATACATGTTTTCGTAGTTAGAAAAGCTGGATTTTTCGGATAAACTTGAAAGATCAAGAAATCGAGTAAAACGGATCATCGCAGTTAACTGTCAAAGATAGTACATCGTTAGTTGCAGCTTGTCTAAATCATGTAGTTTCACGATACATTCAAGGTTATACCGACACAAGTTCCGCTGAAATTATGAGAATCAGTTATATTCGGTGAGTCCGGAACAATGAGCCACTTTTTATTTTCTCTCTTTCTCAATATAATCTCAGCTGATTTGATCCCGCTATTCACCATAAAATTCCCTACAATAATACACATGCCTAGAAAAAGCTGTTAGCGCAATCCCTTGCGGGATTAAAAATGTGAAACACGATGGCTCTATTATTACTAATTAAATGGAAATCCTTTTCTTCCATTACGTTGCGATACATTTGTAGCTAACCGT